ATGATCACGATTCAGTGTTTTAAGACTTTGGTTTTGTTTCTTGTTCTTTTAGCTTTCACTTTATGTTCACGATTCAGTGTGTTAAAGACTTGATTTTGCTTCCCTTAACACGCTAGATAAAAGATGGGATTCCATGCTTGGTTCCAAAGGATGGAAAAATACTAGAGGAGGAAAGTGATGCATCCAAAGCTTAATGATTTTGCTTTTGCATCGAAAACCAATGATCAGAGTGAAGGTAGCAACTTGTTGCACCGTATCTGCATCGACTTATCAATGGTTTGTTCTGTTCTATGTACTAGTTACTTGACCATATCTGCATTTCTCGGTTCTTTCGTCACTTTTTAGGCTTGTGACCAAGTTCTTTTAAGTTTGAAGTCTTTTATGGGAAACATTGATGTAAGCAATTGAAAGATAATAGAAGTGTTGGTTCCGGTGAATGTACCGACCTTTTCTTGTTTGAATAAAATATTTAACAGATAAGAGAGCTGAAACATTTGGAGTATTACTTATTAAATCCCTACTTGAGGCAGATACGTTCTATTTAAGTTTCTTGAAGTGTAGGGTTCTCTAATTGACTGGAATGAAGCTAAAAGCATGATTCATAGTATTGGATGCCTATTTGAGGGGCTCTAAGTATCACCATACAATGTGAGGATATATTCTAGTCATAGTCCCACTTTTGGTAACTATTCTTCTCTATCTTAATGCCAATATTTCTACACCATATTAGCTCTTCATGTCCACTCTATATATGTGCTTTTGGTTGCTTAAAAGAATTACACAGCAAAATTTCAACAACCAAAATTGGATCAAGAAGAAACGTTTTGGGACATCATCAACAAGACTTACCACTGTCAGGTAATTGATATTGGATGAAAAGAAGATAAAAACTATTCTTTTGATAAACCAAATGCATACAAACACACACCTAGTCTTTTGAATATTGATGATGACCAGCAGGTATATCAAAAGCTATAGTACATTGAATAAAACGTCGGGGGAGACCAGACTATGAATAAGGTTATCATGTCCTCTTCTGACCAAACCAAAAAAAGAGGGGTTACTAAATTCCCATTGGCTTGGAGGTTTCAATTTCATAATGCAAGTTGTTGGCTTGTATGGTAGATAGCCAAAGGAATTGATATTTTTGTGATAGTGGGACAGGTAGAAACATAAATGTTTTAGTGATTGGTCCACTTCACACTTTTCTTTGGTATTGTCATCATTTAAGTGGAGCACTGTTTTGTCTTTTGGTCACTTGAAGCTTTTGCTTTGTGTGAGAACCAAATGGGTCAAACAGTGAAAACGTAACTGGTAATATACTTTATTTTTTTATGGGGGTCTAACTAGCATTAGAAGAGGAAGTAGCATTACTACAAGAATACAAGTAGATGTGTTAGTAGTAGTACAGAGGTGAAAAAGGATTGAATACGAAAATGACAGAACAAGAGGAAAGGCCCCAAGACAGGTGTTTTCCTGTGCCTTAGGAAAGGGAAGGAAAGGGAAAAGATCCTTTTCTCTTTCCGGGTTCTTTTTTTACGACTTGTTTCCCCTGGGAATATCTTAGTTCTACAAATTTAGCTTAGTTATAGTTATAGCTAATAAAAAAAGGTACAAACTATTCCCAGAAGAGTAACAAGGACTTGTAGATTTCTCAAAATGGAGCTGTGGAAGACCTTCGAAGTGTGTTCTTTTTGGGTTGCTGATTTGCTGCCGCCATTCTTAACTGCAAAAAAAAAACACACAAACATAGAACTGAAGTATCAGAATCTTACCACTCTTAATGTCGTTGCACAAAAAAGTATGCAAAACATAGATACTGCAAGTAATGCAGAATCTGTCTCCTATTTAAGTTGCATAAGATTGGAGTTGAGCTATAAGCATTTGAACTATTGGTTTTTTGAGTGCTTTAAAAGGGCAGAGCTATAAGAACTTGTCTGTGCTTGTTTACCTGCTCTTGTTGTCTATTGAGTCTTGCATTTTCTGCCTGCAGGTGAGCAACTTCAAGCTCTAACTCATTTGTATAAGCCTGCAAATGAGAATCAAAACCCAAAAACCTTTTTTTTAGATCATAAGCATTTTGATGGCAAAACTGCATTTCTTTTCTTCCCTTTGATTGACAGGAGTAGAAGTTTAGGAGAAGAGAGGCACATTCCTGTTTCCTAGCTCTGGAACGAGCAGCAGATTCTCTGTTCTTGATCATACGCTTGTGTCTTCTATTCCCTGAACCTTCATTGGACTCTTGGCCTCTCTTCTTACCAAAACAAGCCGGTGTAACCAGACCCTCGAAAGAGGTGTTGAATGAAGAAACGTTTGAGAGGTGATGATGGCTATGGAGATTAGAGTTTGAGGTAACAAGAGGGTCTTGGTTATCGAGAAACTCGAAGCCAGCTCCAGAATTCAAGCTTAGAACAGTTGCAGGAGGTGGTAAAGGAGAGGAGCTGAAGAGAGCAGGGACAGTGTTGGAAACTCCATTTGAGACAGAACCCATGTTGAGGCTTGTGGGTATTGTTGGTTCTCGGTTCAAAGGTCTGTTGAGAAAATCTTGGAAGATTGAGTTAGGGTTTTGGTCCTG